ACGATATGTTTCAAGTATGATCATTTGTTGTATATTAAACCAAACTCACAATTTGTCCATCAAGATTGTTAGTTTGAAGAAGGATGTTAAGTATTCAGTTTAACAAAGGAATCTAAGACTCTTTGTCATTTGCATTATATATGTTGTAAATATTTTTCATCTGATTGGTTGTTTCACTTTATTGTCATCCTATATATAGGATCTGATGTAACTAGTCTGCAACATTAAATATATTAGAGTAAGGTTGTTATATCTTTCCTTATTCTACTTTATTTCCTTTTCCCTGCCTAACATAATGTTTGTTTCATGCATTAAGAAATCCAAAAAAAAAAGATATAATAAAGACGAATTTCTCTCCGGTCTTACAAGAGAAAATCATGGGCATCAAAGAGGAAAAAGAAGAATACAAATAAAATAATGAAGGCGATGGAGGCGACGTAAAGCTGGACAAATGTCAGTAATTTTGAAGTAAATTAATTTTCTTACTCGTCTTAATTCAAAATTAATAATGAACTACAATGAAAACCCAACGTCAAATAGCTTTCTTCATATTTTTAGCTTGGCATGCACAAATTTATACAAAATTTAAACTTGATGCGTCAAGAAAAACTTAGCTATCTGTTATATATATATATATATATATACATACATAGCTAATTAATGAGACGCTTTAGGGATTCAATTCTTCCAATTCTCCCCAAAGAATTAGCACCAAAATTGATATTAATAAGGCATTTGATAATGTTGATCAGAGCTTTATTCATGAGAGGCTCAACAAGCTTAACATTCCTATGAAATTCATTGATTGGAAAAAAAAAAGCTTGTACAAATCATGTGAAATTCTCTATGATTATTAATGGTGAATTGCATGGCTACTTTTCCTCAGCCTCCAAGCATAGACAAGGGTGTGCCATCTCTCTATACATTTCTACCATTACAATGAATGGCTTCTCTAGACTTTTACAAGGGTGTGGGAACTGTTCTGGCTTAAATAACTCTTAAGGAAATTTCTCTATATATATGTGTCACGTTCCCAGGTCAGTTGGTAGAGTGTTCGGTTCGGTGGTGTGAGTCACCACTGCTCTGAGGTTCGAATCCCGGCTCTGGCGACTGTTGCCTTAAGGAAGGGGTACTAGAATATTTGGAGCATGGGTTACCCTCAAACCTGACAGGGGTCGAGCCAATAGAGCGGGTTGGGTATCTCACGCCTCGGCCCATTCCTTAAAAAAATAATATATACATATATGGGAAATTTACATCATACCACATAACTTTTATGTTTTTATCTATCTAATATCTAAATTTATACATAGATGGTAATAACATTTTTGACAAGATAATAAAAATATAAATTTAGGGACTATGACAATCCTAAAAAAATGTATTGTTGGAGGCTGCTCATAGAGGAGGTGGTCGGTGTGCTCTCTATTCGCCACATTATACATATGAGTCCAATTAATTATTATAAGGTCCAAATTTATGTGTCTATTTATGATTTGAGTTGATATAGTTCAGTTTTTCATAATATTATAAATTTGTCCATCCAAGCTAAAATTAATGAAAACAGTTTTTGCATAATTTCTTATGTTTTTATTTATATTCTGTAATATTTAATAAGTCTTCCATCTTCTTATATATCTGTTCTAAAATAAGGCATGAAAAAGAATTATAAAAATTTCATTGATTTTTTCACCACATTCCATTATTGAAATTTTTATCATATTAAATTTAAAATTAATGTTTATGTTAACGTAAATTCTGCAATAATTTAATTATTATTTAAACGTTTTATTTATCTCAAAATTTATTTATTAATTTTATTAATCAAAATTTAAGCTAATATATTTTCCCACATGTTTCGCCTTCCGAACAAAAGATTTCTGCTTACCTGCAGCAGCATCCTGAGATAGCTAAGTTGCAGCTAATAAGTTGATAAGTTGCAGCTGCCCCAAACAGATCTTTAATGTGCATAGTACACTCAATTAGACGTATTCATTAATTACATTATATGGCTTTTAAGAGTGAGCAGCAATTTTTTTAAAAGTAATTGAGCAGGTATGTATGTCGATGGAATAAAGATTAGAATTCTCAGTATATTAATAATTTTTTATCCCAAAACTCATCTCACTAAAAAAGGTAAAATTTATCTACTTTATATTTTGATCACAAAGCCCTCATCGGATCATTTTCGAAATTCAAATCTCTTTTACAAACTGATTTTTTTAAGTTCGGACAATTATTACTCATCATGTATGAAAATTCATGGCTGTAAAGTAGTGAATTATCATATTAGCATTTCACAAGAATTTAGCTCACTCACATGAAATAAAACAATCATTAGAGACACCCAAAATTTTTTTAAGTAGAAAACCTGAATAGGTAAAAAACTACATGGTCTAACGGAGCTAAAGAGATCAACTAGAAACTGAAGATTATAAATACGGTCTCTTGTCCCACATAAGGGAAATGGTTACACAATCTTTTGAACTATAAAATTGATGCATGGATGAACTTTTCATAAGAAGTGAATGGTGGTCCATTCTGATCGACTACGATCGATGAGTGATGGTTTATGACAGTCGATGAGTGATGGTAGGCGACGATTGGTGACTGTTGCTAGGGAGCACTCGCCCGGTGGTGGTAGAACACAACAGGAGCAGTAGAAGCAAGTGGCAACAATTGTTGCAGCAGAAGCGTGTAGCTAATCAAAAAAAGCAGATGGCTGTTGTGGCAGAAGCAACAAGTGAAACTGGTGGAAGAAGCAACAAGCGGAGATGTTGAGAAGCCTGACTAGAGAGAGGGGAGCTATTGTGCATGAGACCGGGGCTTCAGTTCATATTCAAATAGTCTAATATAAGGGGAAAAAAAGCTAAGCGTGGGAGGCGTGAGGCGTTCCTCAGCCATTGTGAGGCGTACACCTTGCCCGAGATGCTTCACCTGAACATTCCAGGTGAGGCATACCTCTTGAAGCAGTTTTTGAAAATGTGTCGTGACTCAAAAAGATGAATCTAACAAGTCCAAGATCAAAGGAAGCTCTCTGGACCGTTCGATCAAAGCGGATCATATTTATGCATTTGTTGCACCCGGATCTCTATAAAAAAAAACCCTACACGTCTTTGAAAAGAAAGAAAGTGTTTGGAGCCCGAGGAAGATAGCTTGAAATTTGGAGAAGGAGCTTAAGTCCACCATCACGTCATTATCAACGCTGCCAACCACCACTAGCTTATTGCCGCTTACCACCAATTGACAACCACCGCCTACTATCACTCATCGATCGTCACTGACAATCACTCATCAATCGTCGCCAGTCAGCATCGACCACCGTTCACTTTTTTATGAAAATTTCATCCACGCATTGACTTTATACCTGAGAATACAAAGTAACAATTTCCCTCCTATGGGATGAGGGATTGTACTTGTAAAATATAGTTTAAAGTAGATCTCTTCAGCTTGGTCAGACCCCGTAGGATTTTCTCTTTTCAAGTTTTTCACCTAAAAAAAATTAGTATCTCTAATGGTTATTTTATTTCTTATAGGTGTGTGCTAAATTATCGTGAAATGTTAAGATAATAATTCATTATTTTTTCGCTATGAATTTTCTAACATGCATGAATAAAAATTGTCTGGACTTTAAAAAATCAAGTTTATATAAAATTTTTAAAAATTGAAAATAATAATATCCGCTCAATTACTTTTTAAATAATTACAGTTGACTCATATAGGTCCTAAAATTTAATTAATGAATACATCTAATTGAGTGTAATTAATTAACACAACTAATTGAGTGTACTATACACATAACTACACCTCCATACACATCTCACAGTCACCATACCACAAGGCACATTCACCACAACCCACCCTATCCTCAACACAACCACCACTACCCTCAACCCTTATCACAACCACCACAGTTCATAACACAACCACCACAACCCTCAACTCTCAGCACAACCACCGCAATCCACAACACAATCACCATCCAACCACAACACCACACACATCCCACAGCTACCACACTGCAAGACACAACCACCACAACTCTAACCCTAAACACAGCCACAGCAACCATTGTCCCTCAGCACAACCTCCAAAACCACAACCCTCAACCCTCAATCCACAACACAACCACCCTCCCAACCACAACACAATACAACCATCAGAAATAAAAAAAAATCTAACGCCAATGCAAAATAACATGAATTACAAAAACCAATGTAGCATAAATTGCAAAATCCAACAGTATTGAACAACCAAATAGAACTTAGAAAACCATTGCAAAATCACAATGCCAGATAATAGTGGTAGAGAATATCGTGGGCTGAGGGAGGGTTGAGGGGGAAGCAAAGAAGCCAAGCAAAGACAAAGCACAACCCACAGATTGGACAGGAGGAGGCGAGCAAGGATCTTACGAGAGAAGCTCAGTAGAGAGTGGACGGAGGTGGTAAGGTAGTAAAAGCCGAGCAGTATTAAAAATGCCCCCGCCCTGCATTTTTCAAACATTTAAAAAAAAAAGTGAAATTTCAGGCTGCGCGCCGCGCAAAATATGCAGCCCCAAGCAAACCCTAAGGCTTCTTTTTGCGTAACCATTTTTAGGCCGTTTTTGTGCTCCCGCTTCACCTGTTGATATATAGACCATAGCATTGATTATGATCAATGAAATGTAGTAGCAGATCATAAGAAACAAAAAACAAATCCCTCTCTAATCTTACACGAGAAAAACAAGGGAATAAAAAAAATCAGCTGCTGTTATCGATGCCTTACGAAACAGCCAACGTGTTATAACAAAAAAGAAGATTTACATGCATATCACTTAACTCATATGTATTTACAAGTCTACCTAACACACAAACTTCAACTTTTACACGCGCATATGTACAATTATATTTATATATATTAGTAAATGATGATTCGATGGCTAAGAAACTGCCACCTTTCCGTAAATATATAGTTTGAGCTAAACTAGCACGTGTGAGCTCTAGTTCTCCTCCTATAAAGTGTCGAGGATAAGCCAATATTAGTTCCATGCAATTAAACCGATGGAGCACGTCAACGCACCAGCTGGTGGAGGCAACAACCATATCGCCATAACCCTACCGCTTGTGGCGGCCTTCTTCCTCGTCGCCGCCGGCTCCCCCCATTCAATGGCCGCAACTGTTCCGGCCCACAAGTCCTCCTCCGATCTCAAGCTGCCAATCGTAGCTGCCCGCACAGCTGGTATATATAGAGGGGCAAACTAAAATTTTTATATATTATTAAAATTTAGTTTTTTTTGCCACTTTTGAGATGCTAATTTTGCCCATATCAAAACACATTTTGTCTTTCATTGTCCTACCATGGTTCCACCCATATACACATACATATATTCACAAAACATCATGCCCGTTTAGATTTGCTCACCAATTCACCAAAAACTACGCACTGACTTCTAATATATATGTATGTTTCTATGCAGTGAAAGATAATGAAGAAGCATGTTGCGACGAGTGTGGAATCTGCATGAAAACATGGCCACCGATATGCAACTGCAGGGACGTGCACAAGGAATGTCCGTCTTGGTGCTTATTATGCGAGGATGTTGAAGGCGGCAAGGTGTGCGCAGACTTCAGGGTCAACTACTGTAAGAATGGCTGCAATACAAGGAAAGATCGGTGCTGCAATAAGTGTGGAGTTTGCGCACTAACCGTGCCTCCGATTTGCAATTGCATGGATGTGGTTGAAGAGTGCCCGTCTTGGTGCGACAGATGCCAGGATGTTGACGGGTATGGCAGAGTGTGTGCGGACTTTAAGCCCAATTATTGTGAGAAATCATGCGGTACTTAATTGAGATCCTTTTAGGTATGGAAGGACTTATGATCGATCTGTGTGCGCCTTCGATCTTTGCTGTTTAAATAAATGGATCTGCTTTGTATGGATCGTCATGGAACTAATATGTGACGTTTAGGGTTTATGAATGATTAAATAAAGGATGAAGCGTGCAGCAGCGGCTTCTATGTTTGCTTTTAATGTTTATGGTATGCTTTCGAGATGGTTTATTTTCTTGCATGCAATAAGTCTATTGGAATTGACTTTGTATAAATGGAATCTCATCATCCATACATAACGAATTGGTATGGTATATTCATAGCATAACATATGAACAGTAAGAACTAGAATTCTTATTGATACTGGAACTCATAAGGAAGAAAATAGATTTATGGATGGAATCAAATATGCACCATTTACAGAAAAAAATATTCGGTTATTGGGGAACAATAAATATACTTCTAATGTCGGATCAGGATCAACTAGGACAGAAATAAAGCATTGGATCGAACTCTTCTTTGGTGTCAAGGTAATAGCTATGAATAGCATCGACTCCCGGGAAAGGGTAGAAGGATGGGACCTATTATGGGACATACAATGCATTACAGATATATGATCATTACAGACGTATGACATACAATGCATTATAGTATAGCTCATTTTCGAACTCACCATTCGAGCTCTACTCAGGCTCGCCATTTAAGCTCAACTCGAGGTTGAGCTCATATTCCCGAGCTTGAATTTGATATGACTCGAGCTATCAACTTTTTTACTCCCCCCTTACATGCAATACATGCTGTCGGAAGGTAATATTTCCTGGTAAATTAGAATTAAAATCGGGAAAGGGAGAGCTCGTAAAAAATATATTATATTTTTATTCAAAAGGTTCCATAAATGGAAACAGTGTTCGTCTCTTATCGCCGCGTCGCATATGGGAAGAGATAGATACTTGTGCGGTCTCTAATCGCCGCGTCATACATCTCAATCCAATCAATTATTATGATTTATGAGCTTTAAAATAACATATATCTAAAAATTTTTAAATTTATTTTGAGCTGGCTCACTGACTGTAGCTCTTTTTTTTATTTAGCATTTATATGTATGCCACATAATTATATATATGTCATTACATATACACACACAGATATATATATATATAGACATTTCTTTATATCATTTAAGAGAATCAAATTTTGATTTAATAAATAAATATTCCTTCCATTAAATGGAGGAAAAAAATTGAAAAAATAAATAAAGTGTCTTAAAACATATTATGAAAATCATCAATACCATTTGAAATTTGTGTTTGATCATGCAATGCATTCCAAACAAATCGGTTTGGCATACAATAATCTGCTAGCATCTCTAATGTAGTGCCCATTTGAGTCAGTTTATTTGGTGCGGTGGCGTTTTGAAAACGCACCTGGTATGTTTGGGTAAACTGGGTTTTGACAGCTTATGTGTTTTGAAAACGCTGAAAATAGCATTTTCACACCATACCTATCTAGGTGTGGTGGCAGCTTTCTGGTAGTGGTTTGACTTTTCCAAAAAAAATAAAAATTTGTAATAGCCCCAATAAGCTGCACCTGCCCCTTATCAGCAGATTATTTTTTATCAGCTTATCAGCAAATTATTCAATAAGCTGCAGCTGCTCCAAACAGACAAATACTCTTATAAGGTGAAATAATGCAACATTTACGTGCATATCATTCATTGCAACCAATTCTCTAATTGATGTTATATTTTTAAAAACTTAATCTCTTACGTCTTATAAAAATGATAGTTTTGTCATTCAAAGGAAAGTAATGCAGAATATCAAAGTGAAGCCATGATGGAAAAAAGAGACTGATCTCATTTAAAAACATAATAGAACATAGTTGCAAGCTTATTGCTCAAATGACACCAATTATCGAACAAGCACATATATTGATTAACGGAGCAAATGGAGATGTTGGTAAATCTTATGTATTATTATTATCAAAAGAATTATATATGCAAATTGATCTCTGAAAGCTTTCAATCGATCTTAGTGTAAAAGAAGACAGTAAAAAACTTCCAAATGTTGTTATAGACTAATGCAAATAGGTTCAAGTAGATTCAACAAAACTCAATGGTTCAACAATCTAATTAGACATATGTCAATTGTTTGAATTGAGTACATTAAAATTGGAGTTAAAGCTATGCTTTTTTCAATAGTTCGACAATCAAAATAAATCAATGCAAAATGCTATTAGAAAATAATGCAAATAGCTCTATATTATATACTTCCATTGATTTGTTAGAAGTACAAAGGCAGATTTTTAATTAGTTTGGATTCGTGTATTTTGCTAAATAACTTCATTTACCTTTAGCTCCTTTTGAAACAATGTTATAGTCGGACTGCAGTTTGCAGTTACTGTGTTGTTGTTTGCAACAACCAAACTACACAGAATGTTATTTTAATTTTTGTTATGTGTATCCCCATTCATTGGAGCCAAAGTGACTTATTTTTTTATCCTTGACAAAAAAAATTGATGGTATAACTATTGTAGATGACCCGGTGGTCAAATTGTCAAGGTCTCCCATGGTGACAAAAATTTATGTGAAGGGCATCACATTGAACTTTTTTCTTGGAACTTTCATAAAATAAAAAATTGTACTATACATTATCTAGTAACATGGAGGTCATCCACCTTTTAAAGTGATGCATGCTGATAAAGATGTGAATGTGGTTGTATGATCAATTCAACTTTCTCTACCATTATAATAGAAATTGCATTTTCATAACTATCACTATTGATGATGAGGTTACAAACTTTGTCTCGCACCACACATTTTGTTCTAAAGATATTATGATGAAGCCATTATGGATTAAGAAGGGAATCAACATTAAGGAGCTTACGAAGGACCCCTTCATTTGCATGAAACACCTACTCTCCTGTAAGTTTTTTATGACCATTCCTTGGTATTTCTTCCGCTTTGGATTGTTTTCTTCTACCAATGAAATAATCCAGTGACTAGAATAATTGGATGTTATATGTTCTAATCATGACACTTAAAACACATTTTTGAAGAAGAATTCACAAACATTTATGTTGTTCCTTGTGGTTGAAAAACAACTTGCATGTTGCTGGATTTGCCTTTGTTCTCACCTGGTTAGGCCACATTTTGCACAATTTTGGACTGAACCAATTTCTCACTCGTGGGGATATGCAAAAGTGTAGTTTTTACTCCATTTCTGTTGCCCGTCAACCTCAATAGCCGAGTTGATGATGGCTTGGAGGGTTCAAAAAAGGATTTTGGAGCTGATGTTAGAGCACTTTGCAATGAAGGATTTTGGAGATGCAAAACAAATCAGTGGCATGTGAATTGTCATAGATATAGCTAGAAGCACGTTGAGACTCTCTCAAGCTGAGTATGTGAAAAAGGTAGTTATCACGTTCAATATGAATAAGGCCAAACCAGTTGTCACACCCTTGGACAACCACTTTAGACTCAACAAGAATCGGTCACCCAAGTCAAATGATGAACAAAACCACACGAGTAAGGTTCCTTATGCTTCAGTTATTGGTTCACTTATGTATGTTATGATTTGCACCATACCGGATATTGCCCATGCAGTTGGAGTTGTTAGCAGAAACATGAGTAATCCTGGAAAGAAATATTGAGAAGCTCTGAAGTGGATCTTGAGGTACCTAAATGACTCTGCAGAAAGTTTCTTGTGTTTCTCAAGAAAGAGTTCAGAGGTATAGGGCTATGTTGATGCTAATCTAGCTGGAGACATTGATACCAGAAGAAGTACAACAAGCTATATTTATACTTTTGGTGGCAATGCAGTATCATGAGGCTCTAATCTGCAGAAGACAGTTTCGTTGTCTACTACAAAAGCTGAGTATATAATAGTATCAGAGGCTGTAAAGGAGATTATATGACTACATGTCTTCTTGGAGGAATTGGGCAAGAATAATCAGTAGGGCATTCTCTATAATGATAAATAGAGCGTCATATTTCTTACCAAGAATCCAACATTTCAGTCCAGGACCAAGCTTATTCAGATCAGGTATCATTTTAGAAGATCATTGTTAGATGATTGACAGTTGTTGCTTGAGAAAATTTGTGGAAGCAAAAACTCTGCTGATATTTTGACTATGAGTGTTACACTTGAGAAACTGAAGTTGTGCGTAGCTTCAGTTGGTCTTCTAGCTTGAAGGCAGTGGACTTAAGTTGCAGAGGTGGAAGATATCAATTTGAGGAATAAGTCATTGTTGTCTGTGGACTGATCTCCAAGTGGGAAATTTGTTAGAGGTAGAGCCCGGTTTCAAATTAAAAAAAAAAGGAAATACCTGCTTCCGCCTCTTTTGCCCGCGAAGTGAAGCTTCGCTTCACCTCCCGCTCTTTTAAGTTGGGAACCGAAGCAATGAGTGTGAGTGTTCCTTCCTATTTCACGATATACAGGAGGCGAACTTAAAAAGAAGGAGAAGAAGATAAGAAATCACAAGATTTTTTCATCCTTGGTGCGTGCGGTGGCTACAACAAAATCTGCTTCTTCTTTTTGGTTCTCCCAGGCTTCTTCTCTCCTTTTTTTTGGCTACGATGAGATAACAGAAGAATATAAAAAGCTTCTTCACATTTTCTAGTATTTATTTTTCCAATATTTCATTTTCTTCTTTGTGGTTCACGGTGGAGGGAGAGAAGAGAGGGAGGTAGAGGAAAGTTGTTTATTGTAATCGTCAAGGCGATCGATGACAGTGTAACTCCTCAAGTAATAAAATTCTCCGCAACTCTGTATACGTAGGCAAAAATTTGTCAAACCACGTAAATCTCTGTGCGTCCTTTTTCTAATGTGCATTTTCTCGTTTTATTTTTTCGCTCCATCGTCGATCGTTCAATTTTATATACATACCGCAACACCCACTAGGATGTTGTTGCCACTATGAGCCGAACTTGAGCTCGAATCAAGCTCATCATTTGAGCTCTACTCGGACTTGTTATTTGAGCTCAACTTGAGCTTGAGCACATATTCCGGAGCTCTTGAGCCATCAACTCTTTTACTCCCCCTTACATGCAACACATGCTGTCGGAAGGTTATATTTCCTGGTAAATTAGAATAAAAATCGGTTATATTTACATTCAAAAGGTTCCATAAATGGCCGCGTCATACATGGGAAGAGATAGATGCTTGTGTGGCCTCTAATCGCCGCGCTACACACCTCTCTCTACATGACGATTTATGAGCTTTAAAATAATATATATCTACATATTTTTAAATTCATTTTGAGCTGTCTCGCTGACTGTAGCTGTTTTTTTTATATATATATATATAATTTGGCATTTATATATATGCCACATAAAATTTAAAAATTATTTTGAAAAAGAATATTTATTGCTATACAAAAAGATAATCTTATCGTAATCTGGTTGATATTGACGTGAATGTGGAAAAATACGTGGGCATGAGAAATCAATTCATGTGTGTGAATTAAGGTTATTTGGGAGTACATAAAAGGATACTTTCGGAATGTAGATGCTACATAAATGGAAATAAAAGGCCATAATTTTTTATTTGTATTATACCATTTTTTTTTTTTAGAAATTGGATTTTTTTTTAATAATTTATTTATTTTATTCGAAGTTTAAACCGGATCGCATATATTCGTATGTTCTCGATTTAGTATGACATTGTTGAACACAAATATGTCTGTGAATCACAATTAAGAAATAGAGAATGAGAAATGGAGAAAATTTTCCTTGGATGTGAGAAATTGGGTATTATTTTTTATTCGTGTTTTCAACCACATCTATTACATTTATAGTTCTCCCATTTATTGAGGATTAGGAATGATATGAAGTGACAATTGTAAACCTAACCTCCTTTTAATGATCAGTTCTATGCCATGAGATCGTTGGATATTCAGTGAATAATTCTCATGTTGTTCGTCCTATATATGGATGGTCTTCGGGCAAGTCAACCTGATCTGGATAAGTTGTCTGCCAGTCAGAAGTTTCTTGATTGTTCGTTTGATTGGCATCTGATCTCTAGTCTCTGATTTGCCCATCCTTGGAGTTTCTTTGCTTATTTTCATATAGTTCCAACAGATGACTCTTGCTCCGCTCATAGTCATTCGATCCGTGGAGAAAAGTTGATTTAATTTTAGAACAATTTGAATCCTTTATCTTTACAAGTGGTTCTCAACGTTGAGCCTCCCATGAACTCGTGTTTCAAGATCCATTCCCCTCATATTATTGACGAGACATCCAATTAATATTAATTTATTTGTAAAGCAAAATAATCATTCATTAGAGAAAAAAAATAAAGTGTTGGACTAATTCTAGATATTTGCGCACCAATGAGTTTGAAAGTGCACATGCCTAAAAAATAAATCTACCCCCACTCATATACTATAAAATCTTTTATATTTCAATTGCTTATATTAAAATAGTTTAGTGGTGATGATCGAGTGATAACAGTCTATCAACAACATTCAAACAATTGATAACTTCTAAAATTGAGTCAACAAGTGTACGATTTTATTTTCTCATCATGGATTTTGTTCAATCCATCTAAATTATGAATTGATTTGTTGACCATGACTTGTAGGAGGTAATAGCTAGTTACAACAAATAATTAGATTTCAATCCAAAATAATGCAGCAACTTCAAATAATGGACACAAACACTTCTTTCATAGATGCATCTCATTAAAGGTAGCCACATGTAAGAGAAGATTTGATTTTGGCCCTCCTGATTATCAACAAATGCTCATTTGTCAGATTCATAACATTAACCCTACTCAATTTTGCAACAAGATATAGCCTTATATCAATTATGGGTATGGTTTATCATCCTAACAAAAGTTCTATAAGTATATATGTGGCTGCTTTTTCTTTCTGAAATAATTTAGTTGGTGCATTCATACTCCAATTTGGTCATGATAGATTCTATTATCAGAGGATTCAATTTCAGAAGGCTATAATGAGTAATTACTTATTTATCTTGATTAGAAAAAAAAATAAAAATCTCTTACTGGTTGCGCCATCTCGTTGGATGGAAAGCATAATTTAGGTCGATTTGAGACTATTGCAATTGTTTGAATAAACAGTTGCGAAGTTGTTGTAGAAGAAATTGTTATTTAAAAAATTGTAGTGGTTATTACAAATTTATTTTATTTTCAAACCGCTTTCAGTCGAGTGAATGCTTTGACATTTTGGGCAACGTTTTTGGGTCCAAACCGTGTTTCAAGTGTTTGATTGGATGTTCCAGTCGGAATGGTGCATTCGCCGCACCTCATTTTTTACGAATTTAAGAAGCTCCTCTGACGACGGCACCCAACGGTTTGATTTTTCTCACTACAAATATAGCCCTTAAAGTTTCGTGATTATGTGAATTGTGATAAAATATGATTATAACACAGTGGTATTAAAGAACACACATTCCACATAATTCTTATTTATTTACATATCTCACAATTAAAAATGCTCTTTAATATTTGTTGCACACAACAAATTAGATCAAAGTTTTGTATATGGCTATAAAAAATATAAATCATTGAGTAAGAAAATATATATAATATGAGCACATGAGTATTTTAGTCATTTGGCACATACAACACTTTTAAAATAGTAGATTTTCCACAACAACTTTTAAACTGAGATTTCATATAATCATAGATGTCCCAAACACACCATTAACTAGATGAGATTGTAAAATGCAACTTCTTACCACAACATTTAAAAAAAAAAAGACTAATTTTCCAAAACATCAAAAGGGCGATACGATAACTGTCTAATTAAGTGTTTGTTTGATGTAGCTGTAGTTGTTTGAAGGGGCACTTGTAGCTGTTTGAAAAAGCAACTATGAAGTTGGTGCACATGAAACTATTTTTTAAAAATCTACCATATAAATTTATTCTATTTTCAAAAATTCAAATTACAGGTTTCTGCAGCCGCCACACTTTAGTTGCACGGATTGAAAAAAAAAAACAGCTTTATTCCACAAATCTCATAAAAAAAGCAACAAAGTAGTTCCCCAAGGTTGAGAAAAAAAACTTTTCAACCACTTGCATTTCTAAAAAACCAGCATGAAAGCATTTCTTCAAACAGAATTGTAACGGTGATCTAAGAAATAAAGAAGACATTAAACTGTCCAAAATAGCATAAGAGCTTTGAGCTCAACTCCACTCAATTAAATCTTTACAGCTAAACGTTGGATGCAGTTTGGATCTTACAATAATTATCAAAGCATCGTAGTCAGGAATCAAATCATAATGCTTATTTGATCGTATAAAACCACATCAACGTATGTCCCCAAATAATCATACTCATAATTAAAATTTTCCACAGAAGCATGCATATAAAAAATAAACCATTTCTAGAAAATAATAAAAAATTTTGTAACTTTATGAAATATTAAAAAATTATCTTTAAATTAAATAATATACTATCTTTTACTTATATTTATAAATTTTGTATGTATACTTATAAATCATTACATGTTTTAATATATATATATATATATATATA